TAAAGCGGCATAGGGATAATCTAGTGATTTTATAATTGCTTCCAAAATGATCGATGATGCGCGTGCTAGAACGGATTCGAATTTTCCAGCTTCGTTTGTTTTCTGCTCCATCGGGTGTCGCGTTGAAGAAACGAGAGGACGAACCGGGAAGTTCCGCGAGAATCCTGGCATCCTCGATCCTTCGCAGATTAATGTTAATTAGAAGGAGAAAGAGAGAAAAGGTGGTGAGAATGAGTGATAGAGAGAGAAAGTATGAAAGCGTGCGCGAATGAGAGAATGGAGAAGAGAGACAGGGAGAAAGTGTGATTATTAAATCTCTCATCGGTACATTTAATATAACGCTAATTCATTATTACAAACATTATTGGATTTACGGTAAACGGATAAGCGATTGATTACAATTTTGTCCTAATGTTCAGAGAAATAAAACAAGGAAATACACACCCGTTCCAATTCTACGCTTCCGGTTCGTGCCTTCGACCACGATTTCCCTTGTCCGCCATTTTTATTTCAAACTTTATTAACCTACTTGTTTTTTCACCTTTAATTATTTTATACTCAAGACTATTCTGTTTCGTCTTTAATTTCTTTATACATACATTAATATAATAATTAATTTTATTACAAGGAGTAAGTTTATTTGTCATTCAAGTAGATTCGGTTGTTGGACGTTCATTGTCAGACGGGTTCACATTTTATTTTTATTCACTAAAGATACTTAATTTCCTTCAAACTTAAAATAAAAAGTGAGGTATGTAAAAATTGTAATTCAACATAAAGTTCAATCAGAATATACTGCAGTCAATACAGGACAACATGTTTCAAAGTAACTTGTGAAATTAAAAGTAATTTAAGAGGCCAAAGCATTTTGGACCCTCAAATTATATTATAAACAGTATACAATCAATATATAATAAATATATAACGTATTAATCAATAAAATCAGTATTAATTAAATTAAAAAAAAAAATTGAACAAGTGGCGCCATCTCTCCGGCGAACGGGCTGAACTACACACTTTTGAAACACTACTTTCATTAGTTCTATATTCTACCGCTAGGTGGCGAAACAGATGACAGAAACTCGCAAGTGAATTGAACTGAAAAGATACGCGTGGCGCCATCTCTCCGGCGAATGGGGTGAACTACACACTTTTGAAACACTAGTTTAATTAGTTCCCAATTCTACCGCTAGGTGGCGAAACACATGACAGAACCCGCAAGTGAATTGAACTGCAGAGACGCACGTGGCGCCGCCTAGCGACCGCGCGCGGAACTAACGAAGCTACAGTTTCAAAACCGTGTAGTTCACCCTGTTCGCCGGAGAGATGGAGCCACTTGTTCAATTTCCGTAAAAATGCAATTAACAATGATTTTATTGATTAATATACCATATATATTCATTAAATATTTATTAATATTGATTTTATATTATTTGCAATATATTTCGAGGGTTTAAAACTGTTTAATTTTTTTCGTTAGTATCGCTACTTACTGCAAGATGTCACGAGTGGTTTTTTCTTCTCAAATGCGCGCGAAAAAGTTCGATTTTAAAACACGTAAGAATGAGACTTTCAAAATACTTCCATTTAGTTGTACATAATTAGTATGCTACTAATTCTGAAAACCTTTCTGAAGAGTAAAATGAGCAATAATATACCATCTTGCGGTGTGTATGCCGAACTAAAAATGATGTCACAGCGTAACATAAAAGCAAAGTAGGTGGATATAGATCAACGCCATCGAACGGTGTGTATTTTGAACTGAAAATAATGTAGCAGGCTAACATGAAAGTAAAGGAGGTTCATTGCCTTGTCTAGAGCTTTTTGGGCCCTTGGTATACAAATTAAATTGTGGGCTTTGTTATAGAATATTGATGATTAAGAGAACCACTGTAGTTGAACTGCTATCAATTTTTATTATAGTAGATTATGGTCCCTCGCCGCTTCAGTGATTTCTAGATATATGCCTAGTTTCCTAGTGATAAAGGTGTTGAAGCTATAATGTTCTGGACTGTACACGATGGTTTTTTTCCACATCGATAGATCTCTTCGTGAACAGACTGTACATGCATTTGGCGTCTGGGTTGGAGACGCCAAGACATGGAATGCAGTTTCTGTGCACTGTGAACCCCGGTTGATTCTCGCCTATTGATTGTGTCGTACTAACAGCGTAGTGAATATTCTTTTTCTATTCCATTTTCCAAGAAATTCACGCGAAAACTGAAAGTTATCAGAGAAATCAAAACAGAATTAAGTAAGTACAGCGTAGTGAAGTTAATAAGTATTCTGGAAGACAATTGGCGCGCCACATATACTTGATGTTGTAGTAACCAAAATTTATTTCACAATTTTGCAAATAAATTGTTGCGAATATTCTTCTGTGCTACTAATTTTTAGCAGTTTGTTGTAAGAAAAAGTGAAATTACAGCACACATCGTAGTAAATTTTGGTGCTTGTTCGATTTTGTTTGTACAAAGGGAAAAGGAAGGTGGTAAAAGAGGGCCAAAATTGTACCCCTTCAGGCACCTGAAATATCAGTAAAACATCATTTTATATGTCCCAAAGTATTATAAAAATGGATTCTGTCTGCACTGTGTTACAAAACTACAGTACAAAGGTTCTTTTAAGTAAAAAAACATCATGTCTGAAAATGTAAGAATCATTTGATCTGCACTTAATGCCATTTCACCTAAAAATATGATTTTGTATCAAACAATAGAACGAATATCGTAAACAAAGTGGAATTGTTTTATTGCAATAAACATTTCTGATAGAAACATTACACACAAAATCATCTAAAATATAAACATTTCAAATTGCACGTTCATGCTTGCATCATACATATACCTTGGAACATATAACAATGCCATACTAACATCTTAGATACCCGAAGTATGCAAGTTTGGCACTTTTTTTTATTATCCTTCTTTCAAAAATGAAAATGTCTTTTGTATAATTTTTAATTTTAATTTTTAGACCAAAATGACACCAGAAGGATACACGCGTGTTTATGTGGGTGGATTAAACGAAAGTATCAAGAAGGAAGACCTTCAGACAGAGTTTGAAAAATATGGCAAGCTGAACAAAGTTTGGATTGCTTTCAATCCACCAGGTTTTGCTTTTATCGAATTCCTAAACATGAATGAAGCAGAACTTGCTTGCAGCAGTATGAATGGCACAGAAATTATGGGTGCTAAATTAAGGGTAGAAATTTCACGAGGTAGAGGTCGGGGTGGAGGAAGGGGTGGTATGGGAGGATTCAGAGGAAACAGAGGTGGTGCTAGTAGGGGTTATGGGTCTGCTGCCTCCATCGCGTTCAATTATAGAGGAAACAATATGTATACAGATTATGGAGGTTATTATGCAGGCAAGGGTGGTGGAAGTAGAGGTAGAGACTACTATGGAGAAGCCTATATCAACCGTACTGGTGGATATGTTACTCGAGAAGGATATACACAAGATGTTTATAATACCGGAGAGACCACTGCTGATTATTATACCAACAAAGGCACTGGTACATCGAGGTATCGAAGTCGTTCACCAGCTGCTCGTGGAAGGTACTAATAATATAGTCCCTTGTTAAATCATTTTAGATTATGTTTCTGCAAAAGTTATAGGCTGAAAGTAGAGAAGCATAAATATGAACATAGGCTGACATGAAACAAATAAAATTTATTTTGATACAATTGAATCTACATTGACAATATAAAAAGAATACGTATTTAGAAATTATTGCATGGTGGAGGTTCAAATATTTAGGCACCGATAAATTTGTTGCATGTACACATACATTATGATTATAAATGTGCACTCCTGTAATGAGTATTATCTGCCAAACAAAGGCACAGATAATATGACATTATATTTTGCACTTCCATGTTTACAGTCATCGTCATCTTCGTGAATGCACATAAAAGATCTACGCTGCATTGCCAATCTGAACTGCGGGCCAATCGGCTGCCCACCCTGATGACTACATTTCTATCCAATCTACGCAGCGACCTGTATATAAACAAGAATCTACCATTGCAGATCAAGTTGTGCAATACCATTTGTATAGTATACTTTAGTTCTGCAGTTTGTAAACGTTTTCAAAACATTACTCATTATTCATGAAGGAAAACATTACTGGAAATTTTATATGAGATAAAAGAAATGAATCACGAAGAAAATTGAAACCAAGCTATATAATCTTAGTCTGAAGTATTTATATATGTGACTTTTGTCTTATTTAAACTTGGGGTATTATGTATTTTATAATTTTAAGTTTTTTTTACATATATATTTTTTGTATCCTTTTTTTAGTTTCTTTTTTATAGAAGAACTGAAAAAAATATAGCCGAAGGAAATTTAAAATAGATTATAGAAAAAATACGAGATAAGATACTTCATAATTGATAAGTTTTCTGTTTTTCCTTTTTCACATTTGATATGCTTTAAGAAATTTTCAATATGATTTTGTATTACTTACCATAGACATACTTATCATTTAAAAAAATGAAGAAAAACGAAAAAAATTTGCCAATTTTAGCCAAATGCACACTAACTGCTCGTATATAATTGACTGTGCAACTTTGCCTTAAAACTTTTTATATATCATGTCAAATCAAGATTTAAAAGCTGCGAAATTAATTCGTTATGAATAATTTAAATTGAAGCCGTTTTAAGTATATGTGCAGAAATAGTATTGCATTTGGAAACTTTTGAGCATTTGTTATTGTGGATGCTTGAATGAAAAGTGAAGAAACATGGTAATGTTTTACCATTGCTGTAAATGATATGGAATTGGATACCTATTAAATGATTTGCTCTCACTACTATCCGCCACCCTGCCTGCCTGCTTGCCTATATTCATAAAACTTTTTAATATCGGTTTCTCGTTTCCACTGATAGAAAAAGGATTTGAATAATATTTTTGCTACTACGCTATTCAAAAATTGTCTACGAAACATCGTCCCCTTTGGATTTCCAAAAAAGAAAGGTTTAGCTGCTAATTATTTGAAATTTGTATGCTGTATTAGAAACATAATAATCAGTTGATCGTAACTTTTAATACATGGAATTATAACGTAAGTATGGCAATATAAAGTACACGAATAAAAACAACAGATTGTAAATAAATAACACCTTAATATTAGCAGTATAATCAACCAATGTTTGTATTGTATAATCTGATACATAAACGTACGCATGTTTCTATTTTTTATATTAATTATACTGTTAATATTAATCATAACTATAAGGATGAATAAATGCGAAAAGGTTTCTTCCATGTACAGATTTTTAAATTTTAATATTATTTTATAGAAGCTAACAAGTTAGATCTTCGTTCGGTGTTTTGAAATAGTGCTCTGATTAGTTGTTTAACTTGAGGCGCTGTAAATTCACGCGCGAGCGGCCCTTTACCGCTGTCCCATCTAATTTCAATTTCTTTCAGCGACGCACCTAACACGTGAATCAATTCCAAAAATTTCTCCCATTTTCGTACGTGTTGATGAATATTTTGAGGCTCCTGAAAATATAGCAATTTTTCCTGATCATTCCAAAATGATCGCTGCAGAATAGTAATATAGTTACAGTTTAATTTTACAGGTACATCTCACAGAACTTCAACTGTGATAATCACGTACATATTTTTTAAATGTAATAATTCAATCTTCAATAAAAATTCTTAAAATACTAAAACATGTATTTTCTTTTAACTTACCGGGAAGGTTTGCGGTGCACGCTTCACAATCATGTTAAATAATGCTACCAACTCAGTGGCAACATCAGCAGGAATGTCTTCGACAGATACTACTCTAATTATTAGATCTTCAACCATAGAATTCATAATGCATCCTAAAGTACAACTTAAATTAACTTTTGCTCATATACATACATATATATATTACATAATTTTATTGAGAACTGACCGACTGTTCTGCAATAAATATTAACAGGCAACACGTCTAGCCAAACTGTTTTCAACAATTCCAATTGTCTAATGCATTGCCTCATTGCACGCTCCGTGCTAGGATGTAACTCAGAAGTTTGACCTAACGCTGACAAACCTTATTTCAAAATAAAACATGTTAATTATACATCATGTGTACCGTGAAATACTAGAATCAAAAATATTGGTATTACTAACCAGACTCTTTGAGAATATCAAAAATAATATTTCGTTGATATTTCATGTGCTCTAGAAAGCAAGTTGATCCTACTTCTCTCAATACCAATACCTGATCAGCAAAAGTCAAATTAAGTTTGTGCAAGGATTCTGGTAATTTATCTCTGTATTCGTGTCCCAACGTGATAAGGTGATGTGCAAGATACATACAATTATTATGGAATACCGCTATAAAAATTTAAGTGATTTGAATTTAAGACCAAAACAATTATTTCATAAAAATCATTGATTTCAATTTCTTACCAACTTGTTGCGGTATCGTTTCTAAAAATTTTCTGTGATGTTCGGGCACGATTCCTGTATACATTTCAAAAATATTTCTACACGTATAAAACAATCGTACCGCGCATGAATCTGAACTGAAACACGCTTCATCCAGAATATTTCGTGCAAGGTCTAATATTTCTTTTGTATTCTTGCTAAAATATATTTTACGTAATAAATTGTTTCTAAAATCATTTCATATCATTTTTCGAATAATTTGTATACCTTATTTGGCACTTTGGAAGTTGAAACGTGTTATCACTCAATTTTTTCTCAATCTTTAGTTTATCATAATCGTACGTGTCTTCTGGAAATTCAAGTGATTCCTAGAACAATATTTCAAAAGACACATAATCGACGCTAATTGATTAATATGCAATAATTTAAGAGAAACTTGCCTGTGGCTCATATATGATACAATCGTGCAAATCTTTCTTCATAATATTTCTGGCCTTTGATAACAAATCTTGACAGACCTTGTTAATGAATAATTGATCAATATTCTTCGTGTATTCCGAGAGAAAGAGTTGATCATTCGTGATAAACCCTGAAACCAATGAATGCAAGTTGTTACATTTAATGAAAAGAAAATAATTTTGTAATGAAAAAGATATTTGTCCCACCAATTTTAACTAAGAAATACTGGAAATCGTTGATCGCCTGAACAATAGGCGTAAAATTTTTCAAGTCTGCGTTCGACGTAGGAATAATTCGTGAAATACAGTCGGCTGTTAACGACGCTGACAGTCGTTCCAATAAATGAGGCTGTATTTGTTTCAAGAAGGTTTCATCATCATATATGATCATATTAAAATATTGATGAAGAAACTTGAACAGTAATTCTAGATTGTAAAGTACACTTTTATACGTTGGTGACTTCTTTTTGTTTAGTACTTCTACAGTGAAAACTTTTTCGTCTACTACATATACAGAACAATCATCATTGATAATCGGATTTATAATGTAGTCCATGAGCGTTGTAGAGAATCTATGCAGATGACTTGAAAGATTGTCAATATAATGCAAACCCTGAATTAATTCTTGCATGTCATCAAATTCGTCTTTAACACTTAATGTAACAATTTTTGCATCCTTATCATCAATACCGGTCCAACAAATTCGCTCGTATAATAACATTGATGTGTTAGATAAAAATGAAGTATACAAATTCAAACATTCTGCTTCAATTGCTGTGTAAATATCAAGATCGCGTAAGTCTGTTTGTGGATTATTTATGATACTGTAAATGTGGCACAATGTTTTAGCCACATCTACATATCGTTTTTCATCCTGATAACTTTTCACTGACTTTATAGATTCATGTATTGTTAAAAGTTGATTTGAAAGTTGTAACATCATGTTTGATTCTTTTAAAGCTTCTGATAATGACTTTAATTCTTTCGTGGACCCTGATAATTCTACTTTGACCTAGAATGAATAAATTTTGGATAATGATAATTCATAATTTATATATAACCTTTGCGAACTGAAGATGTACCTGATCATCTATTTTCTTTTGTAAGGAATTCATCTCTTCCAGCAGCTTTTCACCTTTTACTACCAAATGTTGATCCCTCTTCAGTTTTGATGTAAACTCAACATAATTATCATCCATCAAATCTTTAACATCATATTTTAATTTTGTTATTTCCTTTTGTATTTCTGATATCTTTTCATGTAAATTGACTTTCTCCAGTTTCCCTGATCAAAAAAATAAAATATGAAAGTTTCTTTTTAACTGCAGATTTTAAATATTTATGTATTCCTGTGTGTATATGTACCTGCTGTTATCAGCACGTCGGTTACAAATGATGTCATTTTGATATAAAATAATTGCCTTGTATATTTGTTGTAATTCAAAATCACCTAATACTTTCCAATGTTACCTGAACAAGGAACAGTACCATTTTATGATTTATTAAAATTTGCCAGTTTTAGAGTCATCTAACCTATACTCTACCGGTTTTCATCCTCGCGCATTTTATTGCACTTTGTCTCACAGATGATCAGACTTTCAAATAACAAGTTTTTGTACATTCTGCGCATGTCAGATATGATTGCTTCTAACAAAATCCGTAACCAAGAATAACACACTAGCGCTCTTTGCAAGTGTGCAGTATACCTAGTGGTCATTTATTTCATACTCTTCTTATACGACTTTCTGTTTTACCAAATCATATATTTTTGTCCATCATGTATACCTATGTTCTTCCGTTGAATGAATAATACGCCATGTTCGTCGGTCATCATCGGATGGCGCCACTGTTGAAATCAATTTCCATCCGTTACATGTTTCGAAATCATTTATTAAAAAATAAGGAATAACCTTAATAAGATCGTTTACCATAGTTAAAACTATGATTTACATTAGTACAATTATTAAGTAACAAATTGTAAATGAATTACTTCAACCAATACAACTAAAACTAGGTGCTACAAATAACTAATATTGTGGTAATCTTTGCAATCTAATCAATGTACTTGCACATAAATAATTTTAATCTTACCATCAGTATTTTCAGCCTGCATCTGTGAGCAGGTATTAACAATCATGTATATTGATTGCAAGTAATACCTTACATGTATGATTGCAATTTTTTTGTTTAAATACAATATAATTTTATGCACATGATTTTTTTTTTAATTTTAATGTACACGATGTTACGTTCATTAAATATTTTGTATAAACATTATCATAAATATAAAATGATTCCACATCGTCAAGTGTCGGACAAAAGACAGGTTCGAAGAGAAGACTCACCTGTTTCACAACCTGCGTGACGTACCGCATACCGTGTCACGTGACAAGTTTTACCTTTCAACGTTAGTAGGTGGTGGTGGTGGTAGTAGTAGTAACAATAGTATATTGCTTTATGGTAGCCACGGTAGTGGGCCTACGGGACGACGCGAGGTAAGGCGCGTCCATTGGGAAAGACAGCAGGAATATAACGTGGAACCAGTGAAACCGCGCCCAACGTGACGCCAGGTGGTCATCAAGCCGCGACGAAACTATCTTACAAGTTCCATGTCCGTTTCGTTCGTTACAAATTGTAGAGATCGTTCGGTACCATCGCAAACTATCTTCCGAAGTGCAACGCAAACGTTCCCCCTTGAATCAGTAGGCAAAAGAAAACACGCCTGTGAATCGTGGTAGCAGTGATTGAATAACAATCCGACGGTGAATAAGTTTTTTGTTTGCGTGGATGAACAAACGCGCAAAAAGATACACGGCGTTTTTCGGATCGTTATTAGCGAAAGGGTTTCATGACGGGAGAGTAACGGCAGCGGTATAACCGAGTCGCTACAGTCGAGCTGCGATCTCTGGCGCGTGAAGGAGTACGCTGAGAAGAAAGGTTAACGCTCGAATTTAAAATACAGTGCACCTCCGCGTTTGCGTACTGGTCACGACGATACTGTCTCTTGGAAAGCCCCGTCTCGATCAAGATCCATGGATCCCCCTGCATGCTTGAACGAGGTCTGTGATTCGAAGACCTTTTTACGTTAGAACATGCGATTGAACCGTGGTAAAAGGTGATCCTTGACTGGAGAACAACTATGCACTGGAACATGGACGATTTTAATGAATTGTGATAAACTTACGTTCGAGGTTGGAGTATGGCCCACAAAGTTGCTGTCGATAATTCGATAGATCGATAATATCGTTAAAACGGATAAGTGATCAATGAAGTATGTAACACGTAATTATATTACTCAAATCTAACCTTCCGTCAGAAATATGATGTAAAATGATGCGCCGAAAGTAATAGTCGCATCAACGTAATCAGTGAAAGTATCGATTGGATTACGCGTAGCGGATCGAATCATCGTGTGACGCATCCGTGTAACCTGATAAAGAAATATGTATTTATAAAACAGACTCTTCGAAATGTGCTTCGAAAATCGTTCATTCGTGTACGTTTTATCGGTAAACAAACATCGTTATCTTTATTAGACACCGGTATACATCGATCTATCTAAATGTTGCAACAAGTGTCATCAAAGTGTACGAAACTATCGAGCGAATTCAAGAATCGAGAATTATCGATTCGCGCAGGATTCCGTTCAACCGCTAACAATCTTATCGAGATCGAGATACAGTGAATGCGACAAAATGCGTGTTTCGTGCCTGTTCTTTATTTTTCTGATCGTTCATGGCCAATCGGACGAAGGGTTCGACCAATCATCCATTTACTATGCGGAGCCAACTTTCATTAATGCGAGCAACAGCAATGCAAATGGGGTTCTCACGGAAGTGCACGGAGGTCGTATTGTTAGGGGACAACGATTATTGGAACGATCGAAGAGTCCTTATCTGGTGCGAGAAGATTTATTCGTGGAACGTGAGGGAGAACTGGTGATAGAAGCAGGGGTGCAGATCCGGTTTGGTCCCATGATCGGAATCACGGTTCGCGGTATCATGACAGCCAAGGTAATGATTTAAAACCTGTAAAACTACATTTATTTCTTGAAAAAATAATGATAAACGTTTCTTTGATAGAAGGCGTGTTTAGAAACTTTCGAATACAGGGTGTCTCATGTAACTGCCGCCATCATTTTTCAGACACTTCCGATAATTGGACATACAAGTTGTCTAAAACATTATCTTTTCTTATTAATAGTCAAGATCACTTTTACTGTTATTAATAGCACCATTTCGATTTTATAGATTTAACTCTTGTTCGGAAAATTTGTCGACCAAGTTTTCAAAAATAACACTTATACGAAAATCTTTATACGCCTTACCGGCCGAGTGAATGGCAATTGAAACTTTCAGCAAAAAGTGAAAATATTGGATAACAAAGAGGAATAAATTACAGGGCTGACAAAATGATGAATTAATTACAATGAGTACGAAGATGAAATAGCTTTTTAACGTGAGTGTACATGTGTGAATATTAGTCAAGAGCACGGTGTCACAGTCACAAGAGAGATGAGGGTTTATCTATGTGTAACGCTAACGTTGAATGAGCATTACTCATCCAAACGTACGATTGTGCACGTGTTACTACGGACATGCCAGGAATGACTGAGGGTAATAATTAAGGTTCCAAGAAAATTTTATCCCGCTTATGTTTCGCCACAGCAAGAAGGCGGTTTATAACTTTGAGGAAATTTATTTTCGCGATAAGTATAATGCGACGGTAGTTAAACAAAATGTCTCTCGGAATCGATATCTCCATAGCGCTGGTGTGCAATGATTTAGTAGAACAAATTATCAACTTACTCATGCCCTGAGTAATTAAAGTATGACGCATCTAAATATTATTCATCAATTCTCTATGTCTTACATAATCAAGCATAATTTTATATTAGTTCCAGTTACGATAGAAGTGTAATTTGACACGGCATCAAATAATGCTGAAAATAATATTACCGGGCTCCGCAAATTCTGGTGACGATCCTATCCATCTTCCTGCCCAAATTCGCCATTGTTTCACGACGCTGTTACTTTCGTATTTTCCTCGAACTTGGAGAAACGTTAATTATTCTCTGTTACTGGAAAGTCATGAAACTTTTCTTTGAATGGACATCGAACCGTTGTTCTGCCGCACGGCAAGAACCGCAATAAACAGTGTTCGGCTTTAAGTAGCGCGTAACGAGAATCGAAACGAACCTAAGGGTATCCGAGAGGCCAGCTTATTCTAATTGTACCGGAAAGACAGATTTAAGACTGGTATAGGGTTACCGCGTTTTTGCACGGATGAAATTTCATGTATACCAGTACAATGCGAGGAATCCTGGGTGACAACAAAAGGACAATGGCACATAGAAATTGGCCAATTTCCATTTTCATGAAACATTGTGGATGAAGCATTTGATCCTTCCTATAAAACCGAGTCGTGATCGCTCAAGTAAAACAGCGCAAGATTCTACGAATTACAAACTTATTTTTTCTCTTTATAAATCGTGAAGCTATAAAGGGAAAAGGGATTCGATAGAGTGTGAGGCGAATGACCGGAAATTCCATAAACACGCCAGTTGAGTTGATTGCTACTTTATTCGCATCACGTAGCCCAACGTATCGTGCGTGTCGCGTACGTGCACGCATTGCTGGACAGAATTAGTATTATTAATATTCCAAAATGTGAAAAATGCACGTTCAGCTCCTCGCTGAACGCCATGGTTTAAAGCTGGTTTTACTCGCGTGAAGGGAGAAGGTCTTAGCGGATTAAGGGAAAACGAGTGGAAGTAATCCACTTAAATGGATATACGGATTCTAATCGCAGCGTTTCCGCGAGGGCAGCCCGACGAAAGCCCCGGCGAAGAGGCAACTAATAGGTCGATTAAGAACGAGATACGAAGAGCGTGTACAGTGTAAAAGGAATGAACGAATGAATCAGCTCTACATGCACCGCCCCCGACGCGGTGCGTTTCAGGTCACGGATCAAACAGCGGTTCTTAGCCTGAACTGTTAACCTTTGACCTCGCTAATCCTCTTACGCTTCAGACCAGACGAGACCTTCCTCCACCTTCGGCGTAGACGAATTATAGTGATTTTATCGCTCGTGCTCTTGTGATTAGATCTTCAGATATTACATCTGTATTGTTAGCTAAAATATTTTTTTAACAAGGCAAATCTATTACAAACTGTTACATGTAAAACGCTATTGCACATGTTTATTTTTTCTAAATATTTTTGTATGTAGCCGCGCTTCTGAATACCAAATACACATAGTATTTATCGAATACCAAGACACGCTGAATACCGCTTCCTTTCTGTTTCAAGGGAGATCCACAAGCACCGATTCTGTTATCGGCAGCAGAAGTAAATAACGAGGTGCATCCTGCAGAGTCTCCGCTTTCGATACGACTGGTAGATGGTCCAACACCATACGAGGGTCGATTACAGCTTTTCCATCGAGGGGAATGGAGATCCGTTTGCACCAATTCACGAAAGTATGTGTTCTTTTATTATATTTATTGAATCCCAATATTGAATCATATTGATATATCTTCATATGGAATAGTTGGACACGGGCTGACTTGGAAACAGCGTGCAGACAACTCGGTTTCCAAGGAGGACGATGGTGGTCCTGGATAGACAGACAATGGCCCGCAAAACCGCGGTTGCTTTACGAGCAACCGGGCTGCAAAGGCACGGAAGCATCCTTAACGAGTTGCGAGAAGTGGTCCGATAGACAACTGGGTGGTGGAGTTTGTGGTAAAATTTGAATCGGTAAAATCATGAATTGAAACAGTCCAGAGAAAGTAAAGGTACGGTTTTAGATTATCATCCTGATCTTGGGATATCCTGTCTGCCTCGTCACGATGGAGCTACGAAGGCGATCAAGCATTGGCGAGGCATTCGTTTCGAGGAAGCTTTGTACGATCATCCATTAACTCAAGAAAACACTCTTTATATAAGACAATCCAAGTCAATTCTACGGAATGTTATCATAGAGTAAGTATTTCTAAGAGTTATAAAAATTGAAAGAATGTAACAATGTATCGTTTAAAAGGCATGCAGGGACGGGTCGGGAGTATAACGTTACGGCCGCGATCGATGTCGAGGGTGTTCCACCGCAAATGGAGTCGATTTCAGTTCTTGATGCCGCCTTTACGGGCATTAATGTCTCCACGCCGAACGCTCCTGTATTAATAAACAACTGCACTATTCGGAATAATAGAGGTAATTTTCATAACCGTATCGTTAATTAATTCTTCGAGTACAATTATCGTCTTCATAAGTATTTGATTTACAGGGTATGGAATTTACGTAAACAGTTCATCTGGCATGGCACATATTAACGATTGTTCTATATTGGATAATGGAGCGGATGGAATTAAGTATATTCATTTCGACGAACGACCCGATGACAAATTAGATCGTACAGAGGTCTTTGATTTGTGCACTTTTCCAACCACTGCCAGTCAGACCTTTCCTGTAATAATATCCATGGAACAGAGCAAATATGCACAAAATGAAAAACGTTGTCCGCAGGTAAATATGTACAGTGTCTTGTGATATGGTCTGTTGAGTTAGTAACTTAGACTTTCATATGTATAGTCACACATTAATATACATGTCAACAGCGCGTTAGATAACTGTTGTCTTCCCCAATACTGCAATAATGCTTAAATATAAAATATACTTTCAGCGCATATTCACGAGACCAGGCCACGTGCTGACAATGCACTTTCTGCAAATGAAAACTAGCAGAAATAACAGTGCATTCATCGAGGTGTACGACGGCATAGGTGAAACTGAAAAGCTGTTAGCCAGCGTGAGAGTGAAGAATGGCACACTTCCTCAGAGCGTCACCACGACTCGTCATAATATGTACGTGAAGTTTGTCGCCGAGCGACGCACCTCTACGATCATTTTCGTACGATTGTCTTCTGGTTACAGTAAGAAATGAAATATCTTTTAATCAAAGTTGTTCAAACTTTCCATGTTCCGTTGATAAATCTGCTTATCATTCCAGAGAAAACGTATGATCTCAACGTAACTGGTAGCGTAATAGCCGGTAATAATGGAAGAGGAATTGCAGTGGAAAAGTTGCGATCCGCTCTACACGTTCATGAAACTTCAGTGTCGAATAACAAACATGTAGCAGGCGTTCATGTATTGGATGGTGTCGCGGATGTGAATATCACCGGTAGTCGTATTTCCTTCAACACTGGAGATGGTGTTAACATCACCGTTACAGGAGGAAATCGCAATATATCACGGACAAGTATATCCTCGAATCAGGGTTACGGATTTGCAGTGTGGTTGAGCGGTAATTCTTCCACCGACTACGTGTATTTCAACCAGTCCACCGTGGTCGAGTATTCGCAAATATTCAGGAACAAGGACATCGGTGTTCTCGTTGGCAACGTGACAGGCGATTCTTACGTAAACGTGACCGGCAATTGGTTCAATAGTAGCGCAGACACGGCGTTACAAGTAGAATCCAGTTGGAGACAGAATGCAGGGATGCTGAGACTTCAAATTGGTCACAATTCTTTCGTGCAGAACACGAAGGTCGGAATTAAACTGAGTCCGGCTCTCAACATGGAAGCAACCATCGAGTACAATCACTTCAGAGAAGAATCCAATGGATGCATACTGATCAAGAATCCTTTGTACGAGGAGTTCAATATTTTGCCGGTTGACATCGTAATCAGACACAACGAGTTCTACGGTAATCGTGGTGCTTTCGTGGCAAACATCGGTCTTTCACCGTACAGCGACGTTCAGAGATTACTGTTCACCAGAAACTTCTTACGGGACAACCGCATTAGAGAGCTGTTCGACAACGGCATCGCGATAAGATCCAAGCTGGTACCTCGTTCCAGAGTCGCGGCTGTTGTCGTGGTTTCCTCCAGCAACGTGGAAGTGTTTCGCAACATTTTACACAACCCAGAGTCGCGATACGAAATCGGTTCCCACTTGGAGGACCAGAGCAAGATTATCAACTGCACGTACAACTGGCTGGGATTCGCCGAAGAGAACAAAATATTCGAGAGACTGTTTCATAGGAAGGACAGATACAACTTAGCCAAGATCGAGTATCTGCCGTATCTGTTACACAGTAGCAATCCAGGTGCCAACACGATAATCACGAATCCAACGTTCGTTCCACGGTTCGTTACCCCCGGTACGAATTTAGTGGGTGGTGAAGTGGATGGTTTAGAGTTTCTGAACGCTGGCGAGTACATCGTTGAGCGTGACATCAACGTGCGACCGGATGGCAAGCTAATTCTTCACCCTGGCGTTACCTTGCGCTTCCCACCAGCCGTGGGCATGATGGTCGCCGGTAAACTGGACGCTCGAGGCGCACGACCCAGCGACATCTTGTTCACTTTGAAAGAGGAACTCTTGATGGACTCCAGCAACGCGTCCCTGATGGACGAAGGCCTAAGTCAATTGAACGAGATGGAGTCCATACCCGTCCGACTCCTCGGAGGAAAGACAAACCTTGAGGGAAGGTTGCAGGTGAAGGTGGGCGAGAAATGGGGCACCGTTTGCAACTACGGTTGGACGATGCGCGATGCAGCTCTCGTTTGCCATCAGTTAGGTCTCACTCTGGACCCTGACAACTGGCTGATGGAGCGCTCTCAGATCCCAAAGGCGGGCATCAACGAAGATATCGTGCTCAGCAACGTCAGATGCACGGAGAACGACAACGACGTGTCCAGGTGTCGAGCAGAAACAGAGCAGAACTTCGAGAATTCCTGCACGCATGAGAACGACGTTGGTGTCAGATGTTCAGAAGCTGCGTGGGCGGGTCTGCGATTGGGACCCCTTGCACAGAGAAGCGATCTTCAGTTTGTGACCATCGAGAAAGCTGGGTTACTAGATTATACCACGAGCTCGTTCAAGCCAGCCTTGCAAATAGATTTCGCGAGACACTCCCTGGACAACGTTCGGGTCATCGACAACCTGCAAGACGGTTTGGGAGTTCTGTATTCGGACATCTATTCCGCGGATGCGGTGAACGTGGTCAAGAACAGTGATTTCTCGCAGAACGGAGGGAGCGGTATAAGCTTCAAGCAGTTGGGTATGGAAATTATCAATACCAGGATCGAGAACAACAAGGTTGCCGGCATAAGACACAACCCTGCCCTCTCCGCTGTTCAGCAACGAGAATTCGCTGGCTGGTTTCTGGGTGTACCAGACTACACCGATTCCTCTTACAATCCGATAGTCATACCGGATCAAATGAAGGACATCGAGTTGACTAACGAGGAAACCAAGTATTTGATTACGGCCAAGTTCACGGGTGAACCCATTAAAAAATGGGTCCATATCTCATGCAAACCAGGATACGTTATCGGTATCCAACTACTCAATCCCATCGAAAACGGCAGCACGGAGGAGATAATCATTGACACCTATAGAAGTAAATGGGACCTGAAACGGGATCTGGCGGTGTTCCCTGCTACGTCCAGCTCTTATGACATATCGTTAAAGTACAGTAGTGGTACTAATGCACTTGGAGGCGCTGTTATCGTCCTCACTGCTCTCCAGATTTCTGCACAAGATATGCGAAGTGACAGTATGAAAGGACCTATTCCAACCCTGTTGGTTGCAAATTCCAGAATCAAGAACAACAAGAAAGGTATACTCGCCTCCTACTACAACAGATATTTGGACGAGATCGGTGATCACTTTCTCCGGAAAGCGAACGAGACCATACAACTAGTCGGTTGCGAGTTGTCCCACAATCAGGAGGAGGCTATTTACGTACACTCGCCTCACTGGAACATCTTTCAGACGAACTTGTCCGAGATCGCCATCCACATAAACGACAGTCTGATCACGGATAATGGTAAAGGCATATACCAGTTCAGCCGCGACGCACGACACTCCAACAACCTCTTCCATTGGATAATGCAAGACAGCACCATCGAGAGGAATAAGAAAGGTGGCTTTGAAGTGTCCTTACCCGATGTCTGGCAGTACAACGAAAATTTCACGCATTCTTTGTACTTTAATAACAATACCTGGCGGAACAATGAACAGTTTGGCTTCATAGTCGACGGACATTACGCTACCTTGAATATGTCACACAACCGATTCGAGGGGAATCGCTGTAAGTCCGGCTTAATCTCCATCCGTGGAATGGAGAAGAAGATGCAGATTGACAATAACCGTATCGAGAGTAATAAGGGTGTGTACATGGTGGAATTCAAGGCAGATAGTCAGTCTGAAATTCTGGGTGATGTTCATGCCCATTTCTGTTTCAACGAGGTTAAACGAAACAGTTATGACTTGGACAGTATGGAACCACGTCGTACGAATGATGGCCCGAGCTATGTCGTTGGCTTCCATGGGATACAGAAGGTGCAGATAAATAAGAACTTGTTCGGCCAGAACTCGCTAGACTATGAGCTACTGGCTGGTATCAGAACCGCGAAGATCAACAACGAGGTTAATGTGACGGATAATTGGTGGGGCACCTCGAACGACAGTGAAATAAGGTACCTCTTTACTTCCCACATGTATTATAATTTTCGCATACATAATTTTCACATGATTTTTGCAGAAAAAAGATCTTCGACTTCGATGATTGGAACGACCACGCCGTGGCTAATTTTCACCCCTTTTTGATCGAAGATTCTTTCAACTCCGATGTGTCTGCGTCCTGCCAATTTGGAAAAGAGATAGATTTTGACAATTTGGGCGGACGAATAGTAGAGAATTTATCCATACACGCCAGAGACAAACCTTACGTCGTACGATCGGATATCACTATCATGCCGGAAGCTACTTTACACATTTATCCAGATGTCGTTATGGAGTTTGCTCCCAACGTTGGAATTCTAGTTCTTGGTACCTTGAAGGCTGTTGGTTCACCCGAGCACGAAATTATAATGAGGCCGATGGAACGAGATAATAATGAGTCGAACGCGAAATTGAGAAGCGGGAAGATTGTTTCGGTGTCGGAGGAAACGATTCGTCTCTGCAAAGATGGACGATGTTCCTCTTTGTATAACGAAGGTAAACTCAATGTAATGACATCTTGGTTACAGTTATGATATTCGTTTTATCTTGTAGGATTTTTGGAATTCTTCAATAAAACCACCTTGCAATGGATACCTCTGTGCGACACGAGATTTACAGAAAGAAACGCGCAAGTAGCCTGTCGACAATTGGGCCATGATTCACTCAATGTCTACGTGTCGTACGATCGGAGGTACGAGCTTCATCCTGGTTCTCTGATTCGTGTTTGGTCTTGGTCCGAACCATTACAGGTATCTATATACATATTTAACTGACAGCATTCATATTCTTTCAAAAGAATGTTCTACTTCATAAATTTGTTATGCAATGTCTCAGTGCACGGGCAAAGAAGAGAAACTGGAAGACTGCCAGATTAGACTGAACGGTCAATTATATGGCCATCGACACGAATGTCCATGGGACAGTCAATTTGTCTTCATAAATTGTGGAAAACGAAATCTGGACGACAATCGTGACTATTGGGGTGGCATACGTATTGCCAACAGTGAATTTGAGCACCACTTGTACGAGCATCGTATTCACGACGTTGTCACTCACGGGACAGTAAGACGCGTCGAGTCTATCTTAAAATATATTAATATTACCGGTGCTGGAATTTTGCACTTCGAGAAATCGGCTGCTCTTCAAACGATCATGAAATCTCCTACTATAATGCATGTCGATATATCTCACAGTGCTTATCATGGAATCAATGTAATATCACCGACGCATACGGTTAGTATATGGAAATGTTGATAATTTAGTGATGATGATCAGCTCACTAATCTTTACCGATCTTGCAGATTGAATTGCTGTTCAATAACATTAACAATGTGCTCGGTAACGGTGTGAATGTGCTCTCTATAACGGGAGAAGGGCGAGAAGCAGATGAAAGTTCCTTCACCCCTATTAAGGATCTCAATATTCCCTACAACTTGTTCAGCATGATCGACATATGTGACACTTCCAAGGAGATCACTCTCGAGGAACGTGTAATCGTTTACTACAAATACGACAATCATCCCGTCAATTGTATTAAGATATTCCGTAGTGCTTATAGAGCGAAGCCTTTTGGATTTAGGTACACATTTTTCACCGCTAAAAATATTTAATAATGTTGATTTTATTTGTTGACTCGTTTGACTTATTTTAGATTATTGCAATTCAATCTTTTTAATTCTACCGGAAAACCTGGACGAGTTGATAGTATAACTTTATACGATGGAGATATTTATAACATCACTGCCAAGCGTATAGGTCATTTAGAGGCTAATAGTCTTGACGAGAAGAAGTTGTTTAGGACTCAGGGACCTAGCCTTAGTGTAAGACTATTTGCTAATGGTGCGAGCAACGTGCACGGTTTCATCGCAGAGGTTGTTACTTTGCCTATCTCTGCTATTGGATTTAGTAAGTATTTTTAAATGATTTCAGAATAAATGGCAGATATAATGTGTGGATTTCTTCTTTTCAGATCGTGATATGCAACATAATATTTCTTATTCTGTGATATCCAACTGTCGCGAAGGTGCGATCAAATATGCCAGTGCCGGTGAAGTGCATGCAGTAATGACTCTCGAACGTAACCAGTTCACGAATAACTGTGAGAAACTTTATGGGAATTTTTCGACTTGCAAGTCAGCTCTATGGTTGGACGTTCAAAATACTCAATCTTTATTCTTCAGGGTAAATTAGTCAACAATTACCGAACAAATTTTTGCAGACGAATGAATGGAATGTTATAGTGTCCTTAATGTTACAGAATAACGTAGTTCGATTCAATGAAGGTGGTCTTTCGATTCGTGCTGACTCCAGAGGATCAGCAACTTCTTTGAAAGCATGGATTCACAACAATCTGTTTGCTGATAATTTTAATAAACCTGTGCTGTATGTGGAGGGTCGTCAAAGCAGTCCATACCAAGAAGTGACAATATTCAGAAACTACTTTACAAAGAACTCTGCTCCTTACGATAATAATATTGTCTTAAAACAAGTAGTCAGCAATATGACCCTGAACTACTTGCATGCTAATCTTGGTGCTCATCTCTTAGAAATTTCTGGATTTGAAGGTGTCCGTTTGCCTATCTATCAAAGCACATCCCACAATGGTTTTTATAAGTGAGTATTTCCTAACTAGCGTTCAATACAAATGACTGTACTTTTAATTACATGGAGAATTATTTCAGGAATTACGCAGTGGATCGCAATGGACGTAGTACAATAGTTGCTGGAACTCCTGGCCAACAATACGTTGACAATGTCTTTTTCAATCCAGATAATGATTATGAAATACTGACCACAAACAGATCACAGTCTGTATTATGTTCCGTGTGTTATAATTGAGTACAATGTTCAGAACAGTAATAACACTGTAATTTTACAGGCAATTAGAAATGTGGAGATCTCACATAGATGCACGACACAACTGGTGGGGATACAATGAAACCTTAGCAGTCGCAGGTAGGGTCAGGGATAGAGGAGATTCGCCAGAGTTGTTACAAGTGGACTATCAACCTTTTCACATGACCAACCAGTCTGTCCTTAATGGAAAATGTCCACCTGCGTGGGATCTCGTGGGTGACACTTGTTACATATATATTGGTGGCCCCATGGACTTTTTTAGTGCCAGAGATTTTTGCAGAGTGAGACTGAATCTGTTATCATATCTAACTGCAATATAATTTTGTCGCTTCGTCTTATGACCTTTGTTTTTATGTGCTGTAGTCTGTAAATGCATCGATGCCATTTATCATGGGTGATTACCTTGAACTTTGGAAATTCTTACGGAAGCAACAAGTACGTTATGACTATTCGGATCGTGCATGGGTGCAGCAATTAGATCATGTGGATGAGTGCACAACTTTCACCTACCAAACCATAGAGATTGATCACTGTGCTCAACCGAGTCCCTTCATTTGTGAAATTGGTATGTCCTACTAATTGATTATCAAACTTAAAGAAAGAGTACAAGGAAATATTTGTTCGTTTTAGATCCTAAAGTGAAGATCGATCCACTATCGTGGAGGAAAGACATCGTTGCAGTAGCTGTTCTAGGAGCAGCAGGTGTAGCACTTGCGTTGTTAACAGCTGCTATCGCGCTTTGGGTGTCCAAGTCGAAGAGACGAAATATCGAGAGGCTAGAAAGACGAAACTCCATCAGACAATCCTTACATTCATTACGATCAGTCGGCTCTACTTCAGGGTTCACCGAACTCGCCTATCGACGTAAACCAATTGCGGTAAGGGATAATGATCAAATACATCAAACCTCAAACTTTAAATAGATAAGTGGTATAATAGAAGATTGATTTCAGACGAAGCATTCAACAGATACTCTGAACTCCAAGTCCTTGGATTACAAAAGAATGCTGAACGGTGGTAGCATAGATTCAATGGACAAGTCACAGCTGAACTCGTCGATGGAAGATAATCAGAGCTATGACGTGTACGAGGCGCACAATCCAAGATACTCACCGAGTACCAGCGGCTTTAAAAGTTCTGTTGAAAAATACGGGGCTCCGCAAAGCGGGGACAATCCAGTGTTTGATCTAACTTATCGCAATGAAGGTTTTAGAAATCATTCCACGTTCACGTCAAGAAGCACCAATGACTGGCCCATTGAATCAACCGCGGAAACGACCGCCGAAGAGATTCCCGCTGGCGACGCAACCAACGAGAGCTCGTACCTTAACAATACGTCCACTCTTCCTCTGAATGCCAGCCTTGCTCTAACAGATTCTATTAGCGAATTGAAACGCGATATCGAAGCGTCAGCCGCATACAGTCCGATGGATTATGATCCAAGACGCAGTTACGACAACGCAACATTGACACCGAGTCAGGCATCAGAGCCTGTTCCGGAATACGCTCCAGATTTCAACCCACCAATACCTCCTCATCCGTATCATTATGCCGAAGGTCGACCCAGAAGCGACGCGCTACTTGAAACAAATCTGGACACTGGAGAGGAGAAACCTTTACGTTCAAAGAGCGAAGCGCTCTTGGAAACTAACTTGGACGTTTTCCTAGCGAATGAGCCCACGGAATTAACGCAACTTTCTGCTGCAGCGAGAAGCAAGAGCCAACCTTTAGAAACGGCGATGTAAATCGGGATGTGTTTATACCCTTTTGAATTAGAAATCGAGATAGCCTGTGTATCGTGTAACAGTGATGGGCGGACGAAGTGCCCGCGGGGCACCGAATTCAAACTGAGAAACTTAATATCCATCACTGCTGAAGGACCTAATAATAGGGAAATTCATACTTCATGTGTACAAAGAGCGTATCATGCAACGATGCGACTGCGCGATTCGTAATTAGAACTTTTGACGAATGTTATAAATATATCTCATTTATGCATATATAGTTTTTATTATAAGTCGTCATAAAATCACAAAGGAAGATGCAAAGGATAATTTTGAAAATATTCTACACTGCCAGACTGCCGATAAAAGTATGTTTTATACTCGCACAAATGAGGTATACTCATGTGACCATGTTTTGTGATAGATAACTCGTCGGAGTATAAATTACATTATAACTTCGTTAAGGTACTTATGGTACCCATTAAGTAGATGAATTTAAGGATGTGATCTACGAAGGAAAACTGTATCTACCGTTTTTAATATAAATTAAAAAATACTTATGTCAAATTAATTCAGGATCAACTAAAATGCCTGTATTAATTTACAGTATGGTTTCATCACGAAATCATTGCTATTGAAAGTTTCGTGAATGAATGGATTATTTCATTTGCAACGACTTAATAGATACAGTTTTCCTTGTAGGTTCTGACCTCACCAAGCGCCTTGAAAACATTTTTTAGAAGCATTCCGTCGCAATAGATTATCTGTAAGTTTGTTACGAGCGATAGTAACCCTTTTATACAAGATATATACAGAGTTGATTACAAGAATCTAAATATTTATTTTATTTGTTAAAGATATGAAAAAAGTTTATTCATTATGTTATGGCTTCTCCAATAACATAGCTTTTGTGAATATACTTGTATAATTCTGAAAATAAGAATATTCAGTTTCTCGTGACAAACCCTGTATATACAGTGTGTCCAGTTTAGGCCGGAGTTACTATATGTGTTTATACAGTGGATGAAAAAAGTATTGCACTCAACGTTTTTATAATTTTTTTATTCGTCGTACACTTTTATATGTAATATTTTAATTATACCTGTCACAATAGTGTGTCAATACTTTTGTCAACTCACTGTAGATGTATAGATTCCACAAGCATCAATTGCTGTCTTTCAATAAATCGACGTAAGATATTCATTCATATTTTTTATACTGTTATCGTTGAAAGAATTATAGAACGTTACGTACGATTTATTACGATAACGACGGCACAACGAACAAACGTCCAATGTATAATGTATTCTTCCAAGGAGGAGGAATTGCAAATTCACGAATGGAAGGAAAATAGTATTCCAGCAATGACTCGCATTTTCAGGGCATAATACCATATTATTGATTCTTTTTTTTAATATGTGCGTAATTTAATACTTGTACATTGAAAATTGTCCACGATGAAACTAATAAATTGCATCGATTAAAAAACAAATCTTTACATAATCATTCTTTAGGTTAAGTTTATTACCCTATGAAGTAAATTAATATATATTACATAGTAATAATGAAGGGATCGAATAAATAATGGAAGACTATTTTAAAACAATATCGAATATATTAATATTAATATCGTTAATAACATTATTAAATATCGCAATCAGATTACTATTCGTCGTAGCCGTTTTCTGAGACCGCTGAAACGATCAATCGACAGACTTTCATTTTTTTATTATTTTTTGTTTTAAATAAAGCTCTCTACGTGTTTGCAACGCGTAGCATCACGTACAAACGGAAAAACGGCTTTGTTTTATTTCGCGCACTTTAGACGCGAATATTTTGCATTTAAATATGTTGAATCTTATAATAAAATAGGCATACAAACGTATATACAATTTTCTATTAGACTAACGTTATAGGAGTCACGTCGAAATCAAATCGGACACTTCCGGTTAACTACGGAATAGTACGATTCAATCTGCGAAAATTACCGAAATATTTTTGCATCAATTTACATTGTAAAATAAAAGAATTGAATTTTCTTTTGTAAAATTTGACACGGGAAAATCGTTCTCATGATCAGGAGAACACGTTTTGTTAGGAACTATCCTCAACATGTAACCGACAGCGATCGATTATAATCCATAATCGAAAGTTCTTGATAACTGTTACTATGTTTTAAAAAAGGAACTGCACAATTTCAACTGGATTATCCGCACATCGAAGAAGATACATTTTAGCAATTTAATGGAAATAATATCTTTTCACCTGATATTCCGCAGTACGGGAAGGTCGTCCTTTTGATCCATATTGCACACGTCACAACAAAAATAAACAACGGGGATAAATTATTGCACCAATATCGTGCAAAATAGTACACACGGTAACGAGAAACAGCAATTTGTTCGTGGTGCTCGTTAACCTGGGAGCACTATTACGCGTACATTTATATTCTTAACGCACTTAATCGGAAAACGCTTGAACAAATTGTCGGTCCGTACACGAGCTGATAAACATTTTAGCTCATAGCACTCGTATAATTTATTAATTACTCCGATATTTTTTAATTGCACTTCTCATCGCGACGAGAATCGCTGAACAAAATACAACAAATCACGTGTCACTGACAACATAGTTTTGGCGCGTACGTTCGATCAGATAACTTCAGGTACGTTTGAATCGAGAGTATCGATAACATCGATATCATTAAATATCTCCGTCATCCTCAAAGATGTTTCCCTCGATATTTCTTTCTTTCTTAATTTTATGCCTTATATACGTACGAGAACATACATTTAATTAGAAATCAAATGTATGTTGCGTAATTTAGATGTTTTACAATCGAAACATACGTTGAATTTTTTGCGACAATTATAACTACACCTCGATCATGAATTATCGATTATTCAAGCTCATTTCAATATCTAATCGTAATAATCATAAATATACGTGTACATATACATACTTATGTAATTTACCTGCGCGTGTAATATGTTCGTATCAAGATAAACACGTTTAAAATATAACTTGTTAAGTATCTTTCTATCGAATGCATTTTTAATTCTTACGTTTCTATTATTTAAAGTCATCATGACTTTCAAACGCAAATCGTTTTTACAGCTAAAATTGCACCTTTGTACACGAGCGCCATTAACAGGAACAGGAAGAATGACATCTTCAATTCGACTTTTGTCAAGACTACGAAACTTCTCTCCCTCGTATACATATTCGAAAAGATTTCATAATTTGTAAATTTCAATTCTATCCTTAGTTTGAAAATAAACATTCCGAAAGAATATAATTAAATTTTGATAAAAATAAATGTAAAACAAGGGAGGCAGAATAAAAAGAGTAAAAAATATATACTATATATAGACACACGGGAAACACAAAATTGAAATGTTACGTACACTAATTACGTAATTGAGCGATCGATTAATGTCAGGTGTCAGAATGTTTACCTGATGATTTATTAATTAATAGAGATGTTATCATGAAGTCGGGTTACCTGAGCATGCCCAATTTTTTCCTACCCGATCCAGACCCTAACATCGCTATCAATTAATGTGCATATTATGTAATCGTCACCATTAATGAACTGTAATTATTCACGTATCGAAATACATAAATCAAGATAAAAAAAATTAATTCGAATAGGTGACACGATTTGGTGATGAAAAATTATGAATCGCATTTTTACGCAATTCGAGTTAATCGATGATACGAGAACTAACATCAAACGACACTTTGGAGTCGAATAACTTACTCGATATTAAGTATAATAATATTAATAATAATAGACATTGAATTCTATAGAAAACGAGTAACAAGTATCTCGTTCGAGTAACGATGAGTGATAACGGTATACATTAAATTTTTATATTAAAACTTTGAATTAAATTAAGTAAAATTTTTAAAATAGAAGCGTTATTACGCGTTAATCTTTTTTTTCTTTTTTTTCAATAATTATAATTATTTTTACTTTACGTGTCGAGAAAAGCGATCAACAATAGTCAACACGTTCGATCGCAAGAACACGGCTTGGTACTCGGAACAAGACGTTATAAAGTGTCGAAGAAATTTGTACAAATCACGTCGTTAATGCACGTCGAGTTCGTTGATCGAATTATTTGCTGTGATCACTATGTATCAGCTGGCCTAGTCAGAAACGATTGACGTTTATTTCATAACCTCGCATCAATATTATCAAGACAACCAGATAATCAAATTCTCTGGTCTATTGCACCCGGAATGCAACGTGTCAACTCCCTAAAGCTGCATCTTGGAGTGTCATAACACGGACTACGTTATAACCTTATAACGTATTTATAGACGAGCTTTACAGAGCGACGTAACAGAAGAGCTAAATAGTGTAGATCCAAGAATAACGAAGGTGTTTCTGATTCCAGAGAAATTGAACTAAAGAGCGAGAAGGAAACGACGTCACTGCGCTATGCTACGACGACTTGCATCTGTCTCTAGACTAGAAAGAAACGTGTCACTCGATGACACGTTAGATTTGCGGTAATGGAGCTTCTGCCGAAGATCAGAAAGATAAATCCTGTCGCAGGATTTCGATACCTCATAAATTCGCGATTCCTCAAGGACGAGGATGACGATCTGCGCGTGTACTTTTCAACAAAGCAACATTCTGTCGTGCGAGGCTGAGGGTCGACTCAACTTGGCCGAACGCGACAAGCGTTCAAGATGGACAAAGTCGAGCATCACACCATAAAAACTTCGACGAACGGATTGCATTCCGCTTGCGGAGGCGCGGGAAGAGGTACACGCTTTTCCAGCTCCATTCGTGGGAGGAAAGCTTCGATGCGTTGTTCTGGAGCCGGTGTGGTGGTAGCAGGTACCGTTGTTCCTGGCGGTAATTGCAAGCATTCGGCTGGAGTCAACTGGAAACGCGATTACATTAGAATTACGTTAACATCTCGCCGGAGTTCTACTAACTTAACCCTTTCGATGTTGAATTGTTTAGCATATTTCGAAAAGGGTTAAGGATTTTTCACTTACCAGCGCTGCTTGCTGAGGAATCGCCGCGATACCACCAACGTTCGCCGGGTTATAATAATTAGTCGGGCTGACTGGTGGCGAGGGATAAGGCCAATAAAAAATTGGAGGCGGATAAGGTGCCGCAAACTGTGGTGGTCCACGCGGTAGCATCGCAGCAGCAGGTGGGAATATAGCGACCGGTGGTGGTGGCAACATCGTGCCCCCTAGATGGAAGAAAAAGAAGGAAGACAATCAACGTTCGATCGAGTTTACCTGGCACTATGCGTACTAACAAAATGGAGATCTCATTGACGTAACTATAGTGGACCTTCTTCCAATTCATTCTCCTATCATGAAGTTTGATTTATAAATTCCTAATAAGACCAGTTTACCAAGAGGCCCGCTCTAGTTACGCCAGTGAAGAAAAATCGGGAAAGTCCTTTACCATGAAAATAAAAAAAGAAACTTTAAGACCAGACTACAGAAGAGAACAAAATGTAAAAAAAAGAAAAGGAAAACCTCGATATTTGAATTGGTAATATTCATTGTGACAACTTGCTTCGACGAAAATTATCCTGATCGAAAAAAAAAGAATAAAAAAATCTAATAACACCCAGAGATTCTATGTATGTACAAACGTAAGAAGAGTGCCCAACTATGTTACCACACCACGATTCGTGGTAAATGACATCGTGCAGAAGAATACTCGAGTTGTCTTCGTTGTTAATCATTTTCGGTATTTCTCGTACCGTTACCTGCACGATTTCACGATTAACATGACGATTTTCCAAGGTCCATGCGAAACACACACGTGACTTAACCTTTGAGCCCATCATTGTAAATTAAGTTAATTTTTGGATAAAGAATTTTTGACAGGACTGTAATAGCAAAGGTGTTTATTCGTTTTGATCGCTCGGACCATGTAAAAGCACGTCATCCAAAGGAATAATGATTTGGACTTGGCCTACCTGGAAGCACAGAAGTTAGTATTTGTAGATCCCGCTACCAAACAGCAATCGACACTGCACCATTGTAACACGATATATACGTATGTTTTATATATATGTAGCACCAACTTGCGATTTCGCCCCTCTGCCAAATCACCAAAAATTCACTCAGACTCTCCCCTTTCTCACTCTCTCTCTCTTTCTCTTCTTGCTTCCCTCTCTCAGATCTTCTCTTTTTCTCTCTCTCTTTCTCTCCCATTTCCCTTTTGTTCAATGAATTAGAAGCCTCTTACCGTGCGAGCCTCGTATGAAACAAAGGATCAAGGTTACCACGTATTAAGTAACACAGAAATATTAAATAACAACGAGAATTAGCGACACAAATTGCGCGGTGAAGCTGTTAATGTGTTCGCTAATCTTTCGCATCGTATTTAATTTGCTACGAGGATTCGCATCGAGGCGTTCGCAAAACTTTTGGATTAGGATTCACTAGGATTTTAACCATCGAACGCTTTCAGGAACTTGGAAATAAATGACTTATCTCAACGTTCGAGGGTTAGAACGGGAACTGATCACGTTAGATAACGTTTGGTGCGGACTCTCATTATATTGCCACTTTTACATGAATCTAAATAGACCACAATATGTATGGAATACAAGTGGAGTATAAGTAAAGTATAAATGTAATATATATGGAGTATAGTGGAATATAAGAGGAGTCTCGATATATGGCCCAAACGCATCCTCCAAATTAGTGATAAACATTCTTAAACCCCTAAGAAATATTGTATATGAATATTTATCACTGATCTGGAGGGTAAAAGAATAATGTAAGCCAACGTCCCACGAAAGGAACTTATGGACCCTCGCTAGAACAATGTTAGATCTAATCACAGGCTCAACGCTGTGTTAATGTCGGCACAAAAAATGTTACTATCGTGGATCGTGATCGTTGGAAAGGGAGGATGAGACACAAAATATAAGATAAAGAGAGCGGGAGAGACAGCGGCACAGCGACAAAGAGAGAGAGAAAGAGATAATAAAAGGACAAAAGAGAGAACCTGTGCGAGCCAGAGGAAATAGAGAGAAGGAGGCAAGAGTTACGACACAGAAATCTCCAACTTAATCTGTAGACACCAAAGATACCTGCGAGCCCAGTGAAAAAAAATGTATAGAACGTAACAGGATAACGATGGCCGTAATTTTCACGGACGAATAGACTTACCGGTAAACAAATGAAACAACCTAGAATTCGAACGAGAAAAAATATTTATCCGCGAAAATTACCACCACCAGGCAAGGTAATATAATCAGGGTAAGAGTCCACCAACCCGGCAAGCAAAAAGATATGTATGTCCACAAGGCACATTTATTAAACATGATCGATTCACCATCGATATATAATCGTCGATATACAGAAAAAAGTGTGTATACAAGGGGTAAAAAAAGATCGGTATATACTTCTATCTGTGTGTGTGTTCGTGTGCGTGTGAGTGTCCTACATCCCAGTATAGGTGAAACGCAAACGGAAAAACACGTTTTCCCGTAACTCGAGCGGAGGGAGGAATAAAGAAACGAGAACGGAGAAAAAAAAAAGAAAAATAAAAAGTGAAAAGTTGTCGCAACGGTAATTGAATTTATCCCGTTACATCGCGAGCAGTTATGCACGAACTGCGATGATTAACTTTCGCCAGGACAATCACGATCAGCCGTGAACTAGTTTGCCATTTATAAAAAATCCGTCTATACTGTACAGCTTGGAAAGAAAATGTTATACACCATATAGCAAGATGAAGATCAGAATTTATATAATTTGTTATATCACAGTGCTATATAGCATAGACTTTGGAGACCCTTGTGTTCTTTGCAAAGCTTCAATTTTAAAACTTATTGCTTTTTAATAAGATCAAGTGTACAAGTGTTAAAATTATCGAAGCTCGCATCGAAAAGGAGCAAAATTGTGTCCCATAAAATTCGTCAACGTAGAAATTGTGTTCCGTAGTATTCTTTTTTAGTTTCTGATAACCTTACTGGAGTATCAAATAGAACCATCAATGATTGATTAAGATGTAACTTGCAAAAGAGGGACGACACATTGTCAGTCACCAGGTTAGCGGATCACAAGATACCAGACAACACATTCAACGGATGAAAAGGAAAAAAATATATGTATATGCCACGACCTTTGATAATGGAGACGAGCTCTGGAAAGTTAGTACGATCTAAATGCTATATTTCTCACTCTTTCCCTGCTCCTTTCGCTCCCTCTCACTCTCTCCCTTGCTCTCCCGCTTGTACAGTCACGCGTAATTACTTCGTTAAGAAGAAATTGGAGAATATTTTTTCAGTCATGATTTCTGGCTCGAAAGATTTGTTAGAACAAAAATTCTTGATGGCTAAAACAGAGTAACACTCTAATATTTCTGACTATATCACTTGTCTAATCGTTCGATATAACCTTCAGATTTTGGTAATCGAAGGAAGCTGCCTCTGTCATTAATTGAAAACCAATTTCATCTACTTAAAATTGTATTTTATCAAATTAAAAACGAAATTACGACAAGTGGACCTTTCCCCTTAACGGAAGCGATCGTTGCACGTGACTGTACCTGGGAGGATACGTGTATATACGGCTCGTGTGAGTGCCCAGCGAAAGCTAATGGCAGGTAATACACAAAATTCAGACGACATTATGCATCAATAATATCAAGCGGCTCTACGATGAAGGAATGAATTATTTGCTGCGACATACTTAACCCCTCCGACCCTACGTTACATAAACTTCCAAGTTTATCATATGAAGGCACAAATAACTATTCTAATAATGGTATCCTCGAAGTTATGAGTAGGATCGGAGAGCTAACCCGTAACTGTAATGATGGTCAAAAAAAAGAACTTCAAAAATGAACGAACAAAAGAAAAACTTCAAAAATAATAGTTAATATTTGATTTGCATTTAAGAGAAAAAAATAAAAGGAGTTTGATATGCAGCATATCAGTTACGGGTTAATGGCGATCGATTAAAGGACGAAGCTTTTTAGGACGATGTCTTTGAATGATCTATTGTCGCTGTTGGACCAGTACCCTGTTACACATCAGTAGACCAAAGTTAGACCGGTTTAATCTCGGTCGCTTGGTCTATTGATGCATAACTTTGTCCATTAAATGCACGTATGTCTCGTTCGTAACGAGAAGGCGCGTCTTACCATACAGGCCGCAATTATTGATAGTCATAATAGTATATCGAATAGAGGAACCTGCGCGGTGATCGAGCGTGTCGGGACACCCTTGTTGCAAGATCCAGATTCTAAAAGCATTGATTGATGTATAGCTAATCGTTCAACGAGCAGATAGAGAACTGTACCGATACTGTTTGCTCGAGTGTAAAAAAGGAATATAGTGAAACATGAAACATGCCAAGCTTCCCGACACTCTCGACCGATACATTTGTTTATTCACGTTATAAAACACACCAAGATGCGGCCCCATAGGGACGATGCGACACGGAAGGTTCATTAGTGATGTGTGAAGAATGCATGCTTTAACCCTTTCGCTGCGATGGTGAAATTTTGGGGAAGTGGGAATTTGGGGAATTTGGAATTTGGGAGATTTGGAATTTGGGGAATTTGGAATTTGGGAGATTTGGAATTTGGGGAATTTGGAATTTGGGAGATTTGGAATTTGGGGAATTTGGAATTTGGGAGATTTGGAATTTGGGGAATTTGGAATTTGGGAGTTTGGAATTT